TTTTAGGGACTATAGCCTAGCTTGATTTTTTCACTAATCTCCCACGGAAGGTAATCTTGATATCTTCTTTTTTTTATTAGTATTATTACTTGCAATTATTGTGCAATATTGCTGGGTTCCAGCATATGATCATTGGTTGCTAGGAGCCTAAAATTTCTGTCTTAGGTATTCATATAAATGACGCTTTTCCCACTACAAATGTTGGTTACGACATCACACTATTGAATATGCATCCATCTCAAACATGTCATCTCCAGCACATTAGTGACTACCAAATGCCTTTACGCAAGCATGGGTATTTGAGCAAACACACCTATGGAAACTTTAAAGTCTTAAAGTAAGAAAAAATTACAAATTCTAAAACCTGATGGCATGTATTATGGGGTTAAATGATGCATCCGATGAGTTTTTTGATGTACCTAAGCCATTACATTTGGATCAATCAGATAATGCTTGGCCATCTGACTTTGTGCTAGAGATGTCCTCTCAGGTAGTGTGTTACACCTTTGGCATTTGCAATGTTATAACATGACAAAGCTCTAACTTCATGCTGGTCATGTTATACTTAAGCAATCCTTATAACTATAAACTAAGTCATTAATTCATTCTGGTCATGGACAAACATTTGTCTACACATCCATGAAGTTAACAATTTGATTGTTTGGTGATCTATATGATCCCATTTACTAGCCTCAATAGTTCATGCAGATGTTTTTTCATCTTCAAATTCAAGAATTTAATTGTTTCATGATTTCTTTCTTCTAGGATACACAGCATACAAAAGTTTCAGGTGCTGTTTTGGTGAAGAAAGTGCATGTTATTGCAGGTTAGTTTCAAAGGACTTTTTCCAGAAAATACTGAACACCTGACAGTTTGAAAAAGAGAAGTGAGAATAAAAGAAGTTGTAATTTCCCTTGCAGATGGAGCGAAACAGATCCCTCCACTTCTCTAATACGCGGAGAAAATTTAGATGATCGTCAGAAGGTGGATTACATTAAAACTAAGCTTAAGAATACACCCCACTCAAGTCCAATACAAACTTTCTAACATTACCCGTTTTCCGCATGATGTTCTATATATTAAAGCAAGAGCCACATTGATGCAAATGGTCAGTGAAGATTGGTTGAAATCGGATAAACAGGAAGATGATCTTGATGGTCAGGAAGGGAGCATTGTTCAGGTTTTTCCATATATCAATGGGTATTCACATTTTATCCTACATTTTTTCTAATATAATGATCCGGTTAACTTCCAAACAGTTTTTAGAATCAAATTCCAAGGTCATCTATGAGGTTGGTGTGTATTACCTTTACGCTGTAAAAATATGCTGCAAAGCGTGGGCCGGACTTCTTCTTCTTCATTCTTCACATACAGGTGAAAATTTAGTTTGTTGTACACATTCTTCTCTTCTTTTAATAGCATTCTAAAAATAAAATTGTGATTTCTAACAATCAGGTCCCCAGATCAACAACATATAGTCTTGCTTTATACTATATGATGGCTAATCATCAAAAAGATACATATTTACTTAAAAGCTTTGTAAAAGGGGATGATGCTTAAAGAAATTCAAGGTTCAAACTTATACCTTTCATATCCAAGGTTTGTAATCTTTTTGCAACATCAGTATGAGACGTTACATCTCCCTTCCTCCCTCTGTCTATTCCCAAATATCAATCTCTTAAGGTTTTTTATTTTGTCTAAACTTACCCTTCTACCCCTATTAATTCTTTTGAATTTTCAATGACCGTAGATATTCCAAACAGAGTGTCGGGCGGAAAGCATGCCTTATAAGGCAAGCGTTAGAGGTAAATTATTTCCACGCGAAGAAGTACTTGGAGGTACGTGGCATAATAGTTCATGTTTTTTTTTAATTTGAAAAAATCACTATCCATATAGCAATTAAAAAATGACAATATCGTGTCACCCATAATATATAGTATACACAAGTAGCTTATTCAGATTCGTTTTGATTGTGAGAACTACACATTAGTTGAAACGTATTTCCTAGATGTTCTTCAGGTTTGGGTGCTTTTTTAAGCCTTTGACTAAATGCACGGGTTCTATCTACATGATAGTGTTGAGGATGAAACTGTCGGTACAAACTTCATTTCTTTTTCTGACTAGGGAAAACTATAGGGCAGACTTGGATTCTTTAGTTTTTACGTCATTGGGGAGAAGTTGACGGAACTTTAAATATGCATCGTCATTTGTGCGTATAGGTCTTCAAAACCTATAAAAAGCTAAACTCTGTATGTTAGCATTTAACAGTTAGCAGCCTCTTTTTTGTGACTCTGTATGTTACCATTTAATTTTGTTGAAATCAATGTTTGTATGCTAATATGATACAATGACCTCTAAATATTAAAAGTTACGACCTATAAGACCAACAGGTTGTGACAGAGGATGCTGTAGCACTACTTAACACCAAGTTATCGGACGCTAACCGTGTAGTTTGTATTTTTCGTTGACTACACGTAGGTAACAAGAAGACAATGATGGAACCATTCCCGGAGGGCATTGAGTCAGATGAGATGCAAGGATAGCAGGCAAATGTTTGACCATCAGATTTTAAAATGTGTCATGATTTGATTATTATTGTACTTCCGCATTACTCTGAAAATATTTTTAAATGGTCATTTTCAAATGTCAAGCGAAATTTTTATTTTATTCTCGTTTCACCTTAATTCGTGTAATTCCGGGTTATACTGATTGGGGTGTTACATTTTGGTATCAGAGCAAAACGATTTTCCGATCATTGAGTCAATATTTTCAAAGTCCTGCATCCGCATCCTCCACGACATCTCTGCCCCGGGAAGGTAATCAACAAGTAAGTTACTATGGCATAACACACAATCTTAACTCATTGAAAATTTGCTTCCTTTGAGTTGCTAGTATCCTCATAGACTCGATTACAACAAAGTTTAGATTGCCTCGAAATGTTCTTCGGCGATCACAGTCGACATCAGAAGATCAAGAAAAGGACTGTAAACTCGACAAGCGCGACATATACTTATGTCATAGTACGCACATGGCTAAGTGAATAATGTGAATCAACTTCTCTCTACCCGAAGGATACGTTGAAGAAAGAACTTTCTCCAATAGGAAGTGAACGAATTATCCAAAAGGTAAATCTGTCGTTTTCTAAAAGCATGAATAGAACCTCACAAACCAGATCGAATACGACATATGTATCGAATCTGAAACACCTTCTAGGAGTGAATCTACATACAAACATTAAGATAATTGAGTCGTTCGTATACCCTATTAACGTGAAAGGTCGCAACAAGATGACAGTACAAAACAAGATGTGAAACCGTCACATCAATAGAGAAAGACTCGAAGATAAAGAAAAAGATTAATATTTACATGGTAAATATTGATGTTGGAAATAAATACTCTTCTGAAATGCACTGGTCATGCAGCTTAGAACGATATTTATGACTAACACATAATGTACATGGATAATATTATATTACAAATTCAACTCTAAGTCTAATCTTCCAGGATTTGCAAACTCTTCATAACTAGCACCAGGACCCGGGAAAGCATTAGCACTCTCTACCTTGTCCAAAAGCTCATCAACAAAAAAAGAAGAAATAAAAAGTATCCTCTGATTCAAAGCCATGAAGTTCTGCCTCACCGCATCATCTAGAAACTTGATTAGGTTATTGAAATAACCGTCAATGTTCAAAAGACCAATGGGTTTACTGTGTAACCCTTCGGATGCCCATGAGATCAAAGTGAATAAACCCTACATAGTGTCAATTCCTCCAGGAAGTACAATGAAGGCTTCCACAATATGATTCATCTCGAAATACTTATAGTAATTGCTGGAGACGGTGTACTCTGCACCATATGTTGGTCCACAGACCCCTCGTGTTGCTATATACCCAAGTATGAAACCTCTGACTCTACCACCATTATTATAGACTGTTGAAGCTACAGCTCCTTGAAGGCCAACGTTGCCTCCTCCGTTGGTAAGCCTGATTTTTTGCCTTACAAACTCCCGTCCTAGATCAACCGCTGTAGCCGTGAACCTTGGATTGCTACCAAGAGCATGACTACCAAGTAGACCAACGAATCTTATGGTATTAGGAAGAGCTCGAGAAGTTCCTTCCATAATGTGAGAATGTGAGACGCTCTTGCCATAATTTGATATATATAGACTCTGAAACTGGACCATTGATGGGAAAATAATTATTACCAGCCTAAAAACATACAGGAAAGTGGATTTGTTCCAGACAAGAATGTACTCGCCAATACTATAGTCTCCTGACGACATGACATATTGAGACTCATGAATAGTTAGGCTCATTGCCCTAAAATATGTTCAAATCCGAGACGAAAAGTCAAAATGACCATTTACCTAAGACAATGACCCCTTGAGTAACTTCGAAAGAGTAAAACATTAAAGGATGAAAACCTACTATTTGCCAAATAATTCGCAAACGCTATATTCGTATCATGTGACCTATATCCTTGAAATACTAAGGCTTGTTGTGTTAATTACACGCTTAAAGATTGAATTCCATATTTTTGTTATATATATTAATTCATTGAGAACTTGTTTTAACTCATAATTCTCCATCAAATCAAAAAAAAAAGTTTTATGATACTGAACTTCAAAAAAATCACGCATGTATCAGTAGAATCCCAAACGTATTAGAATATGACTACGTGTATAACTTATCATGTTTTTGATAATAAGTAATTTAACTATTGTGTTACGAATATTAGTGATATGACAAATACACTAATATTATAATTTTCGAGCATGAAGCTCTATCATAATTATTGAGAAAGTCTGAAATTCCAAGGTAGTTCTGGAATCATTAATCAGAAAATCAATATTCAAGAATGACTACATATCATCTTGATAATACAAACAGTGACAAAATGACAAATATTGTCAAAAAGTTCATCCAGTCATTTCAATGTGATAAATATAAATATAAATATATATATATATATATATTATTGTGATATATAAGTATGATATATGTGTTAACTATTACAAACAAGCTTTAATCAGCTTATTTACAGCATATTAGTCAGAACAATTCTATTAAGGATCGCTAATGAGGGCAAGTTTTGAAACTATGATCTCGTATTCATCTACGAAACTTAGAATAACGACTATGGTAATAGTCATTCCCCAAAATATCGTTATGTAAAAAACATCAAACCTAAAAACAATTCGTTCCAGCTTGTATACAACGAAGCATAATTCGTGAAACCAACATTCCAGACAAGGTCGTCTGAGAATGATTCTACAAGAATTGAAAATTTAAAAAAAATTCAAGTTACCCCACATTCACGAAACATTTGTAAATTACTCCACTTTCAAGAAACGCAACCCATACAAGGACTCTTGAAAACTACTACAACACGACAAGAGCAAGTCTAAGAGTATATTCGATGCAAGTCTTCATAAAAGAAATCCAAACACGTTACATCTATCATCCGCGTATATCTTCTCTAAAGAGAACATGTCATAAGAATGACACTCAACAAAACAAAGAGAAAACAACTTTTCAAAATTTGTGTTTTACAAAAACAATGGATATTCATTATTTTGTACATCATCATTTTTAAATGACTTCATTAAGGAAATTTCGGGGACGAAATTTCTTTAAGGGGGAAAGAAATGTAACGCCACAAAATATGGCCTAAAATTTACTCCGTATTATAAAACAAAAGTAAATTCTGTCCAATAAGAAATATTAATACGTTTGACCAAAAATAAATGGATTTTCAAAATAATGACTTTTTGTTAAAAATTTATTTTTATGGATATGTCTCGAAGAGACGAATCCAACGGTACATTTTATGAACCAATCTGATTTATAGATTTCAAGTTATGTCAATTTTAAATATTAAAATTTGTAACTTTGACCCATAAAATAAACTCAATTCAAAAGTGATTTCATAAGATTAGAAATCATAATTTTGACCCTTGACAACATCATATTAATCATTTGGATTTAATTCATATATTTTTATCTCATTCATATTATTAAATTAATTTATGACTGAGACAGACCTNGAATCCAACAGTACATTTTATGAACCAATCTGATTTATAGATTTCAAGTTATGTCAATTTTAAATATTAAAATTTGTAACTTTGACCCATAAAATAAACTCAATTCAAAAGTGATTTCATAAGATTAGAAATCATAATTTTGACCCTTGACAACATCATATTAATCATTTGGATTTAATTCATATATTTTTATCTCATTCATATTATTAAATTAATTTATGACTGAGACAGACCTAAACACTGAGAAAAATAAAAGTTCTCAGAAAAATATTTTGACTACATCAAAATTCTAGTTTTGACAGTCTCATTCCAAAAACACAATCCATTTTCAATTTGGAGCAGTTTGGGCGAAAAAGCGCATACCGTTGTAGTCAGTTTATCAGTTACGGAGTAGGAGAATATTTTAAAATCCCTACTCAATCACGTATTCAGCCCATGATCTCCACTAGCCACCTCAATCTTCACAAATCACTCCAAACTTCCTATCCTACACTAAAAACCAAAAGAAAAAAATATAATAAACAAAGAAAAGCTATACTATATCACCATCACCATCTTCTCCTATCATTCACACACACAACACTCTCCTCTCCATTCTCTCTCTGTCGGCCAAACAACAAGGAAAAGAAAAGAAAACTTCAACTCCATAGTTGGTTCAAGAAGAAGAAGAAGAAGCAAGAAAGCCATCCATAGTGAAGAATGAATATTTTCGATTGACCAATTGTGTAGGAGTACAACCGTATTTATACAAGATGGGACTCCTAATCATGGTAGGAGTACAAGTAAGGAAACCTATACAAAAGGTAACTACCAATAATACAATAATATAATAATAAATACATTAAATATACTTAACATAAATATATATGGTAAATATATTTAACATGCTCCCGGCTACGTCGGCTGCGGTGGAGGACGAATTCCCAGGCTTGTGCGAAAGTCCAGGAAGATGGTACATGAAGGACTCATATATGTCCCAGTGCTACCTTGTCTCGAACAAAATGAATATCAACCTCGACATGTTTAGTGCGTTGGTGCTGAACTGGATTAGTGGATAGGTAGACAGCACTAACATTGTCGTAGAACACAAGGGTAGCACGCTGCAGGGGATGTCTGAGCTCAAGAAGAAGGTTCCGAATCCAACTTGCCTCGGCAACGGCATTGGCTACCGCGCGGTACTCGGCTTCGGCACTAGATCGAGAGGTGGTGGCTTGCCGCTTGGAGGACCAGGAAACAAGATTATCACCTAGAAAGACACAATAGCCAGACGTAGAGCGCCTGGTATCTGGGCAGCCGGCCCAATCTGCGTCAGAGTAGGCCTGTAAAATGTCCGTGCGAGAAGGAGTGAGGGAGATGCCCAATGTAGTGGTGCCACGGAGATAACGAAGAACCCGCTTCATAGCTGTCATGTGTGCCTCACGTGGAGCATGCAGATGAAGGCATAACTGTTGAACTGCATAGGTGATATCTGGCCGAGTAAATGTAAGATACTGTAAAGCGCCAACAATGGAGCGGTAGAGAGAGGGATCGGACGCAGCTGGCCCAGCAGTGGTGGAGAGTTTTGACTTAGTATCAACAAGGGTGGAGATGGGGCGGCATGTGATCATCCCGGCGCGCTCAAGAATGTCATGAATGAACTGTGTCTGATGAAGAAAGAGCCCACGGGAAGTGCGATGTACATTGATACCCAAGAAAAAATGTAGATCGCCCATATCAGTCATGGCGAACTCTCCCTTGAGACGCCGTGTGAGATGCTGAAGGAGATGATCGGAGGATGCGGTGAGAACAATGTCATCTACGTAAAGAAGTAAATATGCTGTGTCCGCCCCACGAGTGAACACAAAGAGAGAGGTGTCTGTTTTGCAGATACTGAACCCAATAGACTGAATGAACCCTGCGAAGCGATGGTACCACGTTCTGGGGGCCTGTTTGAGACCATATAACGCCTTCTTGAGTTTGCAGACGTAGTGAGGTTTGTCCGGATCCTGAAAGCCAGAAGGCTGAGTGGCATAGACAGTCTCCTGTAAGTACCCGTGAAGAAAAGCATTCTTGACGTCCAGCTGATGAATAGGCCACCCCTGAGAAAGAGCTATACTCAACACAATACGTACCGTGGCCGGTTTGATTACCGGGCTAAAGGTCTCATCATAGTCCACGCCGAATCTCTGGTTGAAACCACGAACAACCCATCGGGCTTTGTACCTGGATAACTCACCTGTAGGGCCAAGTTTATGTCGGAAAAGCCATTTACCAGTTATAATGTTTTGGTGGGGGGAGGGGGGTACTAGTTCCCATGTGTCATTCTTAATCAAAGCATTAAATTCATCAATCATAGCAGCATGCCAGTTTGGATCTTTAAGAGCACTACGGNGGTGGGTGACGGGTAGGGGTAGTATGGGGCGGTTGGGGAGAGGTGTGGGGTTGGTTGGGGTGTGTTGGAGTAGGAGTAGTGGGCAAAAGCATTGGGTTGGGTATAGGGTGGGCGTGGGCCGAGAAGACCCGGGTTAGGGTTAGGGTTTAGGTTTGGTGAGTTCCAGGATCCATAGCCGTCCGAGTGTCGCTGCCCGCCAGAGTTCCGGCCTCTTCCACGTCCACGGCCTTGACCACCGCGACCGCCACCTCGGCCAGGGTAGCCACGGCCAGCCACCAGTTCTGTCATGCCGCCGGTTCGGCCATGCTGCTGGTTCGTCCCTGGCTGTCCGCTGGTTCGGCCCGCAAGGAGGGCAGTCCCGGTCTCGATGGAGTGAGTTCGTTGACGTTCAAGGAGCAACAATGCCGACCGGACTTGGAGAAAATTGGGTTGGGGCTGTTGAAATTGCATCCAAGATGTTTGGGCTTGGAGATCGTCCGGTAAGCCCCGCAATAGTTGGAGGACGAGCTGCGATTCGGAGACCGGAGCGTCGACGTCGTCTAGCCAATCAGCGATGTTGCGGAGAGTTTGACAATAAGTAGCCATGGGCATGGATCCTTTTACCGTGGTGCGGAATTGGTGTTCCAATTGCATAGCTCGAGCCGGTTTGTTGTCGTGGAAGAGAGCATGAATCATATGCCAAAGTTCGGAGGCTGTTGAAGTGGAGATGACCAAGTCGGAGACCTCATCGGTCACCGTGGAGAGAATCCAACCTTGAAGCACGGCATCAAGTTGAAACCATTCGTCGTCGTCGGCGGAAGAAGGGATCTTAGAGCCGGAGAGAAACCCGTGGAGATTGAACCGTCGAACAAGGAGCAAGAAAAGATGGCTCCATTTTTTGTAATTAGGTTGAGAAAAACTCAACTGTATGGGGACGTGAAGCTTGACGTTAGATATGGCCGTGAACGCCAAGTGGGGAGAATTTGAGGAGGTGGTGGAGGGAGATTTGTCCGTCGTCTTGTCGGAGTCCATGAGGAGTGAGAGGGAGAGGGAGGCGACGAAGGGGGAGGGTGGGGCTGCTGCGGCAGTAAGGCCGAGAGAGAGAGAGAAGCGCCGAGGGAGAAGAGCCAAGAGAGAATTATGGTTTGGGAATTAGGATTTTTGGCTCTGATACCATGAAGAATGAATATTTTTGATTGACCAATTGTGTAGGAGTACAACCGTATTTATACAAGATGGGACTCCTAATCATGGTAGGAGTACAAGTAAGGAAACCTATACAAAAGGTAACTACCAATAATACAATAATATAATAATAAATACATTAAATATACTTAACATAAATATATATGGTAAATATATTTAACACATAGTTTCCAAATCATGAGTTCCAAACGCAGCATCAACTTCTACGTAAGTTCTGTAATTTTCCATCCATTATCACCAAATACTTTCCTTACCAAAGTTGTAGCCCCGGACGATACGATTCCAGCCCAACAAACGGCTCGCGATTACGTTAAGTAACGAAGAAGATATGGCCAAAATACCGGGACTGCGCCAGTGGTGGCGAGCTCCTCGGGTTGGACCATTTTCTTCACCAAATTCATATTGTTTCATTCCAAGAACTCACCATAAACTCTCTAACAATTATTAGGAACATCCGGAAGGTATCGTAGAGAAGATTCGGTGTTGGAATATTGAAGTTAATGGGTTAATCCTCGGAACCGTTGTTCATCGACATATTTGAAATCCTGGGCAGCAACTATCCCTTGACTTCAGGTCTGATTTACGCTATCTTACATATGTTAAAATGAAATACTTTCTATTCGAAACTTGTAGCCTTACATCTTAGGAATCCACAGAATCAAACGGTTTGTAATTCCGTGAAGAAACGATGGAGATATGCCCGAATTACCGCAGGCTGTCCAGTTGTGACGGAAATGACAAAGTTGGCAAATTTCAATGTTGTTTCCACTTCCGCTCCTCCGTAAGATTTCGGCCGATGATTTCCAGGTCTGTACCTTTGCATTAGACTTGTCGAATCATTCATCACATGCGTACATGAACATATATGTTAATCCATTTGTTGAAATCATTCCAAAATATATATGTGACGCATATATAAGTCATCTTTGTGTTAAGACCATAATACACCAAAATCATAAAGTTAATATATATATATATATACATAAGTATATATAAACATTTGAAATCAACCCAAAAATATGTATATATTAATCAAAGGTGTTTAAAAGACCTAAAGAAGTATTTTTGGACACTCAAAATATCAAGAGATAGATTCGCAGACCCAAACAGTCGACACAAACGGTTGACCGTCGTATTAAACTTTGAAACGGACCACGACTGTCAGCCAAACAGTCGACCGCCGGTGGCTGATGGTCGACCGCCGCCCGTCCAACCGAAGTCCGCCATCCGCAGCCAGTCAACAACGGTCGACCGCCAGTCAACCCTGGTCGACCGTCACGGTGATCCGCCAAATCCGACCTGCTGAAGATCAAGGTCGACGGGTCCCGCCAAACGGTCGACCGTTCCAAGCCTCGTAACTTATTTAAATGATATTTTAATCATGTTTGATCCAAATAAACTAATGCATGATTATGTATTCATATTGTTTGCAAATTGTTCACATCATGTCATTCATTTCATCATTTATATTGAGCATATCACAACATGTGCATGCGTAAGAGATCATGCGTAATTGCGTCTCTTATAGCCATATCACAACATATGCATGCGTAAGAGATCATGCGTAATTGTGTCTCTTATAGCTGTGATTGTGCGGGACTTAGCAGTCCGACATCACCGACCGGGCTTAGTGTACGTACATGGTACTTAGGTTTTCGAGTACCACCCCTATTTCTGCGTGAGTTCGTCGTGCCAAATGGGCGAATCTCATAGCTCAAGGCTCGTCCTTGCGACTTAGAATCATGCATCATGTTATCATCATCAAGTACATCGATTACATAGGTGTCATGTAATCATCATCAAGAACAGGTATATTGATTACATAAGTATTATGTAATCATCCTCACAAGCAAATTGATTAAATGTGCCATCATGTAATTATCATTAAAAATTTATCATCATGAATCATCAAATTGACCATATGATAAAATGTGCCATATCATGAATATTATTATACATTGTGGACGTATATATATGTATATGTATACGTCTGTGAATCATTCGACAATTCTAGAGTGGTACCCCTCAGCGGTTTCGCTGAGCGTGTAGTTTGTATTTTTCGTTGACTACACGTAGATAGGTAACAAGAAGACAATGATGGAACCATTCCCGGAGGGCATTGAGTCAGAGGAGATGCAAGGATAGTAGGCAAATGTTTGACCATCAAATTTTAAAATGTGTCATGATTTGATTATTATGGTACTTCCCCATTACTCTGAAAATATTTCTAAATGGGTCGCCATCCAGAGTCTATAAATTTGATATTTATAAGTAATTGTCATTTTCAAATGTCAAGCGAAATTTTTATTTTACTCTCGTTTCACCTTAATTCGTGTAATTCCGAGTTATACGGATTGGGGTGTTACATTTTCTATCATCTATGTTTCCAGCCCAATCAGTATCACTGTAGCCTGTGAGGTTTGCTGTACCACCTTTGAAGTACCACAATCCTAGATTTTGTGTACCTTTGATATACTTTAGAATTCTTTTTACTGCCTTGAGATGTGATTCTTTTGGACTTGCCTGATATCTGGCACAAACTCCTACATTGTAGCATATGTCTGGCCTGCTGGTTGTTAGGTATAGTAGACTTCCTATCATTCCTCTGTATCTGGTAGGGTCAACATCTTTTCCTAGGTCATCTATGCATATCTTCTCATGTGTTGGATAGGGTGTTCGAGCACTTTTACAGTCTCCCATGTCAAACTTTTTTAGCATATTTTGAGCATACTTTGTTTGAGAAATAAATAATCCTTCAGCAGTTTGTTTGATCTGTAGACCCAAGAAGAATGTTAGCTCACCTATCATGCTCATTTCAAATTCTGTCTCCATGACTTTTACAAACTGGTTTACCTGTGTCTTTGACTATATATTTTTTTTAATGAAGCTAGCTTTTTATTGATTAGCGAAAGAAAGGAAGCATTGCATAAGCTGTGATTGCTCCCTGAACGTGTGGGGGAGCAATGAAAAAAGAAATACAAGGAGTAAAAAGATTATGTTGGCTGGCCCATTTGGCCAAATGATGGGCTCCCATATTTCCTTCTCAAGGTATGTAGGAGAGATCTTTTGATCGACCCGAATGTGAGAAAGCATGGAGGAGAGTTGTCCAAAGTTCATGGTTGACTCCTGGGTTTTTGCGGCTGGAAATTGACTTGGCTAGACTTTTGCAGTCAGTGTTGGCCCAAATATATCTTCCAAAATGTGCAGCCCATTGTATGCCAATGGCTAAAGCTTTTGCCTCACCTTGTAAGGCAGATGTTTCTTCAATCTTCCATGTTCCCGCTGCAATGAAAGTGCCATTTCCTCTGCGTAAAACTGCACTTGCCACCCCGTAATTTTGATTGATTGCAACATCTGTGGAGAGGTGTAATCCGTTGTCCAAGGTGTTGGTCCACCTATAGATTCTAAGGGTGGGGTTCCTTTGCTGCGAGAGCATAAGTTCAGGAGGAAGTCTCCAGGCGTCGAAGTACTTAAGCTTTGAAGGAGCCCCTCCAAGAACCCACTCCTGTACTTGGGCAATACAGTCTTGAAGTAGTCTCCCCGAGTCTTTGCTGCTGTTTTCATGGATGCGCCGGTTTCTTTCCTTCCAAATTTGGTGGGAGATGATTCCAGGTATGATACCTTTGAGCCATCCTTCTAGAGTTTGGTTGTGGTATTCTGTCCACCATTTGTGGAGGTAGGCTCTCACACCGTGTGTTGCTTGCCACGGTATTTTGAAGATCCATTCGAAGTAGCTCCAAATGGGTTTAGCGTAGGGGCATTGAAAAAGAGCATGATAGTCTGTGTCACTATCCCTTTTGCAGAGATGGCATATGGAAGGCAATGAAGTGATTCCAAATTTCCTCAAGTGTGCAGGGAAGGGTAGCAGTTTCTGGTGAAAGCGCCACTGGAAGAAGGAGATTTTTTGGAATTTGCTTCACGTGTATGAGTCATAGATCTTGGGGGAGAAGATTCCATCTCTGAAATATTTAGACTTCATAAATTTCCCCCAGATGGAATTTCCAGTAACCACCTTCCACCACAGATCTATGTAAGCTGCATCCTGGCTATTGAAGAGGTTTCTAAGTCCCAGGCCTCCTTCCTCGAATGGAAAACAGAGTTTTTCCCATTTTCTCTAGTGATACTTAGGACCTTCTTCGCTTATTCCCCAGAAGTAGTTTGCCATAAGTCTATTCAAACTTTTGAGAATTGATTTAGGGATTCTTTGTGTAGCCATAAGAGGTAAAGGAATTGAGGATAGCACGTGTTTGATGAGAATGAGCCTCCCCATCTGATTGAGCTTCTCAAGCATTTATTTTTTTCTCAAATTTTTCAACCAATGTCTTACAGTGAACCTTCCTCAGTTTACCCTTGACAATATTAGAACCAAGGTAGGTAAATTCCTTTGTGTGACACCTGATGGATAGGATTTTTCTGATCTGGTTTTGCTACTCAGCCTTCATTCTTTCATGGACTATAACTTGGCTTTATATATATATATATATATATATATATATATATATATATATATATATATATATATATATGCTCTTGAGGATGCAGGCCCGGAATTTGAAGAACCTGCCCTATACACTCACTCAGAAGGAGAGAAAACTGTTTTTATTGACTCTAAGCTTGAACCTTTTAGAATCATAACTCCTAGTTCCTCTAAAATGTCATTGCAGCTTCCAAAATTAGCTAAGGGTAAGGCAACCTACTCACCTTCTCATATGGTTACTAGAAGTAGAGCTAAGATGATAGCAGCAGGAAGGAAAGAGCACCCCATTAAGGGAGTTGACACATCTGATGAGGAAAGAGAATCTTTCGTAGAAGGCATCCGCTCCGCTTTCAAGAGGAGCTGTCCGTCAATCAAAACGACGGATATCCAAACCTGCACTCCAACCCCGAAATGCCAAGTGAAGCTTAGCAAAAAACAGAAAAAGAAGGCAAAGATGAAACTCAAACAGGCTCGGGCTGAGGAGATAGCACACTTAGCCGTCAATGGGAAGAATTCACTTGATACTGAGAATTTTGAGGAGTTTGAGGATGATTTGGATAACTTGGAGTTCTTCTAACTCTTTTCTCCTTTTTCATATTTTCCTCGCCCATTAGGGGCAGAATATCAGGACTTTATTTTATTTTTTTAGCTTTCTTGGGCCTTGTTTGGGTTTAGCCCACCCTATCCCTTTGTACTATTTATTTCATCTTTAATTTAATAAGATAGAGCGTACCTGGGCTCTATCACACCCTTAGTGGTGATGGTTTTCAGGTTATATATATATATATATATATATATATATATATATATATATATATATATATATATATATATGAGTTGGAATAGAGGGCGGTTCAATCCGTTGATATATTATTAAAACAAAGTTTATTAGATATACATATGGATGGAGGGTTTTAGTGCGAGAAAGTGGAACGCCGCCGCCGCTATTGATCATCGGAAAGTTGGAATAGAGGGCGGTTCAATCCGTTCTACCTCTAGAGCACATGGCCATCGGAAGACTGTAATCCACGAAGGTTTATATTCAGGAATCTCTTCTTCCTCAATCAGATTCAAAATCGAATCAAAACATTTCCAGTTTGATATTTCAAATGGACGCATTCAACTTTGTGAAGAAGGGAGAAGAAAATCCTACAGATTTTGGGTAAGTTACGATATTCTTCTTTGGATTTGCAATTGCTTAGAAGGTTTCATCCTCAACCCTGTGGCGAATTTACGGGCTCAGCGTACTGAAGGTAATCGCAAATTTCATCTGTCTCTTGACGCTAATTCTTCTGGTTTTTACATTCATCTTCAAGAATTGCGAATTGATGGCTATACTACTATTTTTATTCCTGAGGGTTTCAACAAAACTGGTATAAGGCTTTTTGTTACTAAATTGAGGCAAATTGGTTCTTCCATTGCGGTTTCTGGTAATTCTGATCTTGCTATTTGCTGCCACAACTGGAATTCGATTTGTGTTAAGATAGATAATTCACAACCATCGATTTCAAAGGCTTTGTTTGATGTGGAGATCCAGGATAGTTTAGTTTCGAACAATGTTGATGACTGCAAGACCTTTGAATCTGGAAATCAAAATGGTCTTCCAAAATCTGATTTGGTTCATTCCTTAATTGTGCCTGATAGTATGGCAGTGGTTGGATTCTCTGCACCCATTACACCCGAACCTCAGAAGGCAGCATACATTGCTTCAAAGAAAACAGATTCCGTTTCGAAGTTACAGACGGAGGATAAGGCAGTAACCTTGGGTGAGGTTGTAAGGCGAACTGTTATAGAGACGGATTCTCCAGAATACAAGGCTAATTTGGCTAAATTCACGAGGCTTGCAAAGGAATACTCGAAACCAAAGCTTATAAACCTTGGAGAACTCTCTGGAAGTACTAAGAAAGAGTCTGCTACTTGTTACAAGGTTTTGATAAGCCATAATAGTGATGAAAAGGGTGCTTATGCTGATTCAAGAGATGCAGGTCAGGATTCAAATGCAGAAATGGGTGAGGACTTTGTTCCAGACCCAAACATTCTAACCTGCAACAAATTCAAGGCATTGGATGATC